TTCATCATGTATGGATTTGAACATATTGTTCCCTACTTTAGGTGACCTATAATATATCAAATATTAATTGAATGTCAGTCACTTGTGCTAGAAATTGGCAAAATTCTATTCATCATTTGAATTCATCTAAATTGTTATTTCCTCTGTGAAGCCTTAAATAAGTCTTTACCAGACACCCTAACAGAGTTAGCTGCTTATTCCTCTAAATGCCAATATCACTTTGTTGATTTTCTATTTTTTCTTCACTAATCTCTGATCTCTCTAGTTGTCTTACTCCTCTTGGTATGCCAAAGTCATAGTATATACCTTGTGCACAGTAGGTGCTCCAATATAATTGTGTAGGATACAGTCAATTTATAGTTGGACTAGGAAAGCTCTATCCTTATCTCTGGAGACACCTTGATGTCTGGCTTTGGACAAGATAAGGTCAGTTGGATTTATGATGTGCTGTTTAGAGTCCAAAACTGCCCTGGTGGCCTCTGAATCAGTGTTTACTGATGGTTTTCACCTGACAGAACTCATTAGCGAGCCTACCTTGACTACATGACCAGAGCGACATAAAAATACCCCACTGGGGCTTCCCTGGTGGCGCAGTGGTTGAGAGTCCGCCTGCCAGTGCAGGGGACACGGGTTCGTGCCCCAGTCCGGGAAGATCCCACATGCCGCGGAGCGGCTGGGCCCGTGAGCCATGGCCACTGAGCCTGTGCGTCGGGAGCCTGTGCTCCACAGCAGGAGAGGCCACAACAGTGAGAGGCCCGTGTACCGCAAAAAAAAAAAAAAAAAAATACCCCACTGGGATCTTCTGCCTTGAGCGCTCCTGAACGCAAGACTTATTACACAGATCTTGGTGGTTCAATCCAGAGATGAAAGGGACCTGGGTGCAAATTAGGATCCTGAGTTTTCCTTTGACATTCCCCACATCCTCAATGCTTGTCTGCCCTCTCTCTTGCTGTACCATATCCTCTGCCTTTATTATTTTTTTATTATTATTTTTTTTTGCGGTACGCGGGCCTCTCACTGTTGTGGCCTCTCCCGTTGTGGAGCACAGGCTCTGGACGCGCAGGCTCAGCGGCTATGGCTCATGGGCCCAGCCACTCCACGGCATGTGGGATCTTCCCGGACCAGGGCACGAACCCATGTCCCCTGCATCGGCAGGCAGACTCTCAAGCACTGCGCCACCAGGGAAGCCCCCCTCCTCTGCCTTTAAATAAAAGCCTTAGGTGAATACGCTCTATGGAGATTTGTGAGTCCTTCAACTATCCAAACTTGTGAAATTTTGCAATAATACTTTCTACACACTTTACACACTTTCATGAATGTAAAAATAAGCCCCATGACCCAGCTCATATCTGTGTCAATCTTAATAAAACAAAAATTTCTACATTTTATAAATACTTTCACATCCACTAACACTAAATTCCCAAAGAAATCCTGTAGAGGGGTAGTCTCACCATTTACTAGAAAAACTCAGGCTCAAAACATTAAATGACTTGTCCACAGTAGCTCAACCAGTTAGGGGCAGAACTGGACTCAAGCCTAGGTCTAGGTCTCTCAGCTGTACTAGGCTGCCCCCAGTGTTTGCAGCAATCATAGTTGACCCTTGAACAACATGGGTTTGAACTGAGCAGGTCCACTTACTCACTGATTTTTTTCAATAAATAGGTACTACAGTAGTACACGATCTACAGTTCGTTGGATCTGTGGATGTGGAACCCTGTACACAGGTATAAAGTTATACAGGGATTTTCAAGTATGCAGGGGTCGGCAGCCTAACCCCTATGTTGCTCAAGGGTCAATTGTACACTCCTATGCTGTAATTTGAGGATTTAAGGTAATATCTCTGTATCCTGATAAAGTTTATTGAAACAAGTCATAAAGACATCTGCATTCATCTATTAAAGAGGTTAATAGTAATATACAATGTTGATATCAAGAAGCTGAACATATTAATCCCTTTACTCCACAATTACATGAGCACCTATTATAGGGCTTAGGCACTGTGTTAGGTAGAGTTTACAGTTTTAGTGAAAAAGTGAGACATTTTAAAGAAGAAAAATGAATACCTTTTCAGTTCATGGATGAAAAGAAAGTTCGAATTTAAGTGCATAATCTGATATTCAAAATTCTTAAGAAAGTCATTAAACAACATTTATATACAGTACTTTAGAGTGTATAAGATCATTACTTTGCCTAATTTCATCCTCAAAACAAACCTGTGAGACATTTTTAATCCAATTTGACAGCTAAGGAAAGTGAAAATAAAAATTAAGTAATTTGTCCTAATATATACAAAATCACATAGCTTGTATAAGGCAAAGTCAAGATTCAAATGCAATGGTACTATTATTTTCTTTCTACTTTATACTTCTATTATTCTTATGTTGATTTAGATTTAAATGTGCTATTTCACTTTTTGTTTTAAAAATCCATATAATGAAAATCACTAAGTAAAACATTTGCTTATCATGATAATTATTAATAATTCAGAATTTAAAGTAAAATAATTTAAATGTCCTAGTGATGGTTTTCTGCTCTCTCTCTCTTTTTTTTAATTGAAGTATAGTTGATCTACTTCTCTTTCTAGCTGATGGCTATAAATATGTTTCCTTTTTTTTTTTACATCTTTATTAGAGTATAATTGCTTTACAATGGTGTGTTTCTGCTTTATAACAAAGTGAATCAGTTATACATATACATATGTTCCCATATCTCTTCCCTCTTGCATCTCCCTCCCTCCCACCCTCCCTATCCCACCCCTCCAAGGGGGTCACAAAGCACCGAGCTGATCTCCCTGTGCTATGCGGCTGCTTCCCACTAGCTATCTACCTTACGTTTGGTAGTGTATATATGTCCATACCTGTCTCTCGCTTTGTCACAGCTTACCCTTCCCCCTCCCCATATCCTCAAGTCCATTCTCTCGTAGGTCTGTGTCTTTATTCCTGTTTTACCCCTAGGTTCTTCATGACATTTTTTTTCTTAAATTCCATATATATGTGTTAGCATACGGTTATTTGTCTTTCTCTTTCTGACTTACTTCACTCTGTATGACAGACTCTAGGTCTATCCACCTCATTACAAATAGCTCAATTTCGTTTCTTTTTATGGCTGAGTAATATTCCATTGTATATATGCGCCACATCTTCTTTAAATATGTTTCTTAAACACGTATTGAATGACATATCTTTAACCTCTGGGTAATTTTAAACAGTTTTTTGGTAAATGAAATAAAAATCATTCATTTCTTTTAGTCAGCCTGCAGATCAATATAATGAAAACAAATAACTAAATTTAGATATGTATTTTCTAAACATGAAAAGCTTTCTGAGTTGTAGAATTTTTGGAAAATGTATAATTAGTTGTTAATGTTTAACAGTATCTCATTCTTGAACAGTGTAAGCAACTAAATATATTTTTTCCAAAAGAATACATTAAGTAAAAAATAAGTTTATGAATTTAATTCATTTAACTTAAATTCTTAAACAGTGTTAATGCCAAATTCCTAAGCGGTAAGGAAAAAACTAAAGACAGTAAAACACAAGTTTAAAAATTTTTTTAATTCCCAGATCTCTCAAATGAACTGTTCTAGTTCTATCTGAATCCTTTGGGCCAAGTTCCACTGGAACAAGTCTTTTTTCCAGGGTATTCATTGCCCAAGTGTCAGCTTTTAAAGGTCTGAAAAAACCTGCTTTAAAGAAAGCCAGAGAAAATGAGATAGGCCAGCCAAGACAAGTGTGCCATGTAGCAAACAGTGGTTTCTCTGTGATCCAAATAAAACAGCAGTGCTGTTATACCCATACACACATATAACTGGAATATTTCTATCGTCTTTTCCATTAACCTTTAATCTAAATACTAATTTATTTACTTTTTTAAACTTGGTTTTGATTTTATATTAAACAATAAAGAGAATGAAACAGTGAAAAAATTCACACAAATTAGATAATAAAAGAATAAAACAGAGTACTAAAATCTATTGAACTTGTATGCCTGGAATCATGCTGGTGACTTTATTTACATAATCTCTCTTTTTTTTTTAAGAAGATGTTAGGGGTAGGAGTTTATTAATTTATTTATTTATTTTTGCTGTGTTGGGTCTTCGTTTCTGTGCAAGGGCTTTCTCTAGTTGTGGCAAGCGGGGGCCACTCTTCATCGCGGTGCGCAGGCCTCTCACTATATCGCGGCCTCTCGTTGCGGAGCACAGGCTCCAGATGCGCAGGCTCAGTAGTTGTGGCTCACGGGTCTAGTTGCTCCGTGGCATGTGAGATCCTCCCAGACCAGGGCTCGAACCTGTGCCCCCTGCATTAGCAGGCAGATTCTCAACCACTGCACCACCAGGGAAGCCCTACATAATCTCTCCTAATACAAACTATCACCTTGTGAGCTGGTGTTAACATTCTTATTTTACATATCAGGAAATTGAGAAACAGTATGAATAAGAAACTTGCCCAGTGTCATATTGCTCCTAAATGGAAATATCTACATTCAATCTCATACCATTTCTCTTAAACAAGCTGTGGTCCTCCTACCACATCATGCAAAAACAAAAAGCAAAAGAGAAGAAAAAGGACAAAAGAGACAAAATCATGAGCATTGGTCTACTCTAATAATTCTTTTTTTTTTTAACTTTAATAGCCTTACTCTTTTTTTTTCGGCTGTGTTGGGTCCTCATTGCTGTGTGCGGGCTTTCTCTAGTTGTGGAGAGTGGGGGCTACTCTTCGTTGCCGTGCGCGGACTTCTCATTGCGGTGGCTTCTCGTTGCGGAGCATGGGCTCTAGGTGTGCAGGCTTCAGTAGTTGCAGCGCACAGGCTCAGTAGTTGCAGCACGCAGGCCCTAGAGCATGCAGGCTTCAGTAGTTGCGGCATGTGGGCTCCAGGGAGTGTGGGCCTCAGTAATTGTGGCGCGCAGGCTCAGTAGTTGTGGTTCGCGGGCTCTAGAGCACAGGCTCAGTAGTTGTGGCACACGGGCTTAGTTGCTCCGCAGAATGTGGGATCTTCCCAGACCAGGGCTCGAACCCATGTTCCCTGTATTGGCAGGTGGATTCTCAACCAGTGCGCCACCGGGGAAGTCCCTCTAATAATTCTTAAGAGGGAAGCAAATCATATAATTCTGGCAACTATACTAGATTCATCTGAACCTCTACAGAATTTATTCGTTTGTAATCCATAAGAGTAAAGAAACAATACTGTCTTAAAAACAATTCCTTCACTGGTGTAATGAATCCTTTATCTTTTGTGCTATTTATCTTTCCACATTTTTAAGTTTATATACTAGCTAGCACATAACCTATTGGGAAAAAAAATCCATCATACAGCACTGCAAAGTAATACACATAGAGTAGGTATTTAGTAAATATGCTGAAAACTTTGTATATTCACAATGCCTTGAAATCAGTAAGTACCTGAATAGCTAATGATATGATTATCCTTCAGGGACACTGGTCTTAAAGTTCTGGTTTGGGAGTTCAGTTTGAAAAATGGTTCTATTTTAATCGATCATGACCAAGACACACTACTGTTTATCTGAGTTCATCATTTCTCTAGTATTCTCCATTTTATCAAAATGGCTTCAGAATGACAACCAGGCAAAATAAATATTTTTTATTCTGCAGATTACAATGGGCAGAATATGCCAAACAATTCCTCACTGGCTGTGGATACAAGGTTAGAGTTTAAAAGTTTTTAACTTGAGGCATTATCAATATAGTGGAGAATATAGACAGATATATAAATAATTACAACACTGTGTGAAGTGTACACACATCATTCATTCAGTAATTATTATTGAAAGCCCCATGTAACAAACACTGTAACAAGCCTGGGATACAGCAATGAACAAAACTCTAGGGTCCCTGCCCTCATAGACTTTATAATTTAACATGGCCTCAAAGACTTCCCAAGTCTCCAGAAAAATGAACTCATGGTCAAATATCACAAAAACACATGAGGGAACATGCACCCATAAAGAATGAATCAGTAAAAGAACAAGCAACAGAAACAAATATGCAAAGATGAAAGATACTGAAATTAATGGATACAGAATATTAAGTATGTTTAATATGTTTAAAGAAATGAAAGCAACAAAAAGAACCAAAGAAGAAAAAAATCATCAAAAATCATCAGGCAGATTTGAAAAAGAAACAACAGAACCTTTAGAAATGAAAAAATATAATAATCAAAAACACTAAAGACAGGGCTTCCCTGGTGGCGCAGTGGTTGAGAGTCCGCCTGCCGATGCAGGGGATGTGGGTTCGTGCCCCGGTCCGGGAAGATCCCACATGCCGCGGAGCGGCTGGGCCCGTGAGCCACGGCCGCTGAGCCTGCGCGTCCGGAGCCTGTGCTCCGCAACGGGAGAGGCCACAACAGTGAGAGGCCCGCGTACCGCAAAAACAAAAACAAAAACATAAACTAAAGACAAAAAGTGAATTTAGGAGGGAAAAAAATAAGGCTGAATTAACCAAATAAGAGAGATGAGAGGGAGAAAGCAGGACATCCCAGACAGAAAAGACAGTGTATGCAAACACATGAAACCATGAAGCTGCATTCTGTGTTCAAGGAAATAAAAGCTGAATTATACTGCTGAAGTATAATGTGCAAGTGTTTAAAAAGGAAAGCGATTACATCAGAAAAGTCATCAAGGGCTAGATTGTGAAAGTCTTCATACACTATACTTCTCAACTCTATATTCCATGTGTGCCTATACTGATTATCTGAAGTTCTTATTTTACATATATGTAAGTATACATATTTATATGTATACATAGTAAACAATATTTCCAGTTTTGAAATATATAAATCCTTAGTTAAAAGAGAATAAATACCTACTGGGCAATTTGGCAGACAACCCAGAAGTCCTCTCTTTACAAACACCTAGATATGCTGGATAATATTTAATACGTTTATTTTTAAATGCACAGTTGAGCTCCTGAAAGACTAAAGGTAATTCCCAGAGGGGGAAAAATGAGAGTAAATTGAAAATCAATATGGTATCTGGGTATGACTCTCCTACCAAGGGAAAAAGGTAGGGCAGTGAAATGCCTGACTCAGTACCATAGGAGGTTGAGTTTCAATGCTCACACAGGAATAGCAGATGAGGCATTCGACCATGCAAGGATGGGAATTAGATCTGAGATCATCTACATAAAGCTAAAATGCTTGAGAGACTACCTAGTCAGTAGCTAAGTTAAGTAGAAAAGTACCCACTAGCCCAGACAAACAAGAAAGCTGTTATATATTCAAAAAATACAAATAGGGCTTCCCTGGTGGCGCAGTGGTTGAGAGTCCGCCTGCCGATGCAGGGGACACGGGTTCATGCCCCGGTCCGGGAAGATCCCACATGCCGCGGAGCGGCTGGGCCCATGAGCCATGGCCGCTGAGCCTGCGCATCCGGAGCCTGTGCTCCGCAACGGGAGACGCCACAACAGTGAGAGGCCCACGTACCGCAAAAAAACAAACAAATAAAACAATAAAAACAATTACCTCACTTAGAAGTATAAAAAGATGTGTGACAACCACGAAACTCAACCCCATGATCCTCGCCTTGAGTTTTCTTTTGCTTTCTCATCACCTACTCATAATCTTTATCCTTTCTTAAAACTAATTTAGCTTTAGTCCCCCAATCTCTTATTGAAAATACTTTATAGAAAGTTGAGGACAATGGCCTTCTCTGATCTATATAGCTATATTATAGATCCTTTCTCTCATCATTTATTTTGGCCATTCTTAAAATTTAAACTTCATCTATATGTCCTTCTTGATAACAAATTCTTACATTTAAAAAGCGAGGGTACCTGAGCACACAGGCCTGCTTTGTTGGATTCTTCTCCTTTCAAATTTCATCCTCGTTCTTCATCAATCCTAGTCTCCCTCCATGATCAATATTTTCCTTAGAAGATGGTTGTTTCATGAAAACTTTCCCAATTTAATAACATCTTCATTTTTAATCACATAATTTTAACATGTTAATATATCTCCCAAGTGTTACACTGTCATTGTCATTGGTACTAAACTGACTTTTTCTGAACTGAGTGTAGAAAGATTTACTCTTCTGGCTAAAACCTTCCAAATGCTTTTGATCACAAATAAAATAAAAACCAAACACCTTACCATGGACTACAAAGCCAACACAATCGACCTCTGCCTTCCTCTTCTAACTATTCTTCTTGCCCACCCATTCCAACACTAGCCTTCCTAATGCTCCTAAAAACAAACCAAGTCCGTTCCAGTTTCAGGGCCATAAGCAGAACTACATAGAACATCATTACCCCAGATTATCTCTGGGTAATTCCTTCTCACTCTTTAGATATTATGCCAAATACTACAAACTCAGAGAAGCCTTCCTTAATTACCCTATCTAAAGAAGTCCTCTAACCATTCTCTATCATATTACCTTGTTTTATTTCTTCATAACATTTATCACAATTAGAAGCCTTTATATACTCACTTATACATTTGTCATCTTCCCTCATTAGAATGCAATCTCTTGACAATAGCAATCTTATTTATTTTCTTCACTGCTGTATCACAAACTCCTAGAACAGTACTTGTAATAGCCATGTGTTCTGGGTTTTGTAATTTCTGCTTTGACTTGTGGGGTCTTGCTGACCTTGGTGGGACTGTTCTTCCCAGGGCTAGCTAGTTCGCATACTACTTGCCTGTAAGCACACCTTTTATATGCAAACCAAACAATCACAGCCCATAACCCCAGCTACCTCCTTTATCAGACTCTAGGCCACTATTCCCCTGCCCTAATCACTTCTGGGCCATGTACCAGACAACTAAAGACAGTCCCTAAGCCCCAGAGCCCACTGAAATTATTCAAACTAACCAATCCCAGGCCTGCTTACCCCACCTTGCCCACTCCTTCCCACAGAAGCCACAATAAAGGCTCTCACCCACATCTCCCCTCCATGGACTGATCCTGGCGCTTCCCCATGTGGTACTGCACAGTGTGCTATGCCTCCTGCTTCTAAGGAACAGTAATAAAAAATTCTTCCTTTATGGCAATCATTTCCATGTTTGTGTGTCTTATCATACCTAATTAAACAAATCCCAGGTACCTTTAAAATAAGTGCCTGGGGCTTCCCTGGTGGCGCAGTGGTTGAGAGTCTGCCTGCTGATGCAGGGGACATGGGTTCACGGGTTTGTGCCCCGGTCTGGGAAGATTCCACATGCCGCAGAGCGGCTGGGCCCATGAGCCATGGCCGCTGAGCCTGCGTGTCCGGAGCCTGTGCTCCGCAACGGGAGAGGCACAACAGTGAGAGGCCACAACAGTGAGAGGCCCGCATACCGCAAAAAATAAATAAATAAATAAATAAATAAAATAAGTGCCTGGCATAAAGTACATGCTCAACAAATACTGTTGAATGGATCACCTGGAGAATAAATTCCTTTTGTTTCCTTTCAGTTCCTAGCATGACTGAGTTTACTTATATCATCCTTCAATACACTTTAATAATTGAATCATTTGTAAAACATGTATTCTTTGCCCAATAAGAGATAGTAAGTACTAAAGATACAGGGATGAATAAAAAATAGATATGTTCTGTTCATAAGAGTTTCAAATAAGATATGAGAATGCAGGAAAGTCGAAAATAAAAGAATGAAAAGATAATCTATAACTACTACAGAAAAAAACAACTGGTATAGCTATCATAACATCAGACAAAAAACAACCTTAAAATAAAAAGTATTACAAAAATAGGGATCCAATTCACCAAGAAGATATCATAACCCTAATCACATACATATCTAATTTAATTGCATAGCTTCAAAACACTTAAAGCAAAAACTAACAGAATAATATAGGGAAAGTAATCATATCCATCAGCATACCCATCTCAGTGTTTGAAATATGAAGGAACTTTCCCTATTCTCCTCTCCACACCACCCCCAGCCCCAAATCAGCAGCGTTCCAGAAGATTTTAACACCACAAGTGGCTTGAACTAATAAACATTAGCACTAATAGACATAAGGACACTACAATAATCTGAGGGCCTTTCACATCTAGCCATGATAGAGTAACTGGGACTGGACTTTCCCTTGCTGTCAACAACTAGAAAAGAGGGCAAATGATATGAAAAACCTCCTTTCAGACGTTGAACAACAAGGTAGTACAGAAATGTGACCCCTGAGAAAAGGAAAGCAAATGAGGTAAGCGATATGATTACCCCAGTTTTCTAGAGGACACACTTTCCAGATCTTGGTGTAAGGAAAGGGAATCCAAACATAGCACAGCCATCTCACTAAATTGAGGAGACAGAGATTAGACTTCAGAAAGACTGAGCCATTAAGATTTATAGGACAGAATACCAAAGGAGGTAGCTTTGCAGAGAAAGAGGTCCAAAACTTTAAAGGGATCCTCTTGAATCTGTTGTTGAATACTAAGCTGCACATGCACAGAATAAGACTCAATTAGGCAGAGAAAAGAACTACTGGGGAGAAAAGCTACTAGAGAGCTGTAAAATGAACAACTACCACAGCACACAGACAGAATACAGATCACACTGAACACCTGGCACATTCAATAGGGATCCCAGAAAGGTCACATTTCAGTCAGGAAGCAAAACTAGCAAGAGAGTAAAGACAACAACTCTAAACCCACCCAAATACATGTTTTAAAACAAGCCATGAGAGAGAAGCTGACCAGAA